TGTTGTTGTTGTTGTTGTTGTTGTTGTTGTGGTTGTTGTTGTTGTTGTTGTTGTTGTTGTTGTTGTTGTTGATGGAGAGAGACAGGAAGGTGGTGGAGGAACTCTTTGTCATAGCAGCAGCAGCAGTAATGGTAATGATGATGTGGTGGTGGTGGTGGTAATAGTGGTAGTAGTAGTGGTAGTAGCAGTAGCAGCGGCAGCAGCAACAGCAGCAGTAAGAGGAGGAGGAGGAGGAGGAGGGGTTGAGCAATAGCAGTGGTGGTGATGGTGGTAGTGGGAGAGGAAAGGGGGGAGGGGAGGGGGGGAGAGAAGGAAAAAGCAAAACATCGTTATGTTCAATATGACGATGGTGTCTGCACGGTATCGGTCCTCATTTTGCCCCCTCCTAATGCCTGAAATGAGCTTTTGGGGGGAAAACCCCCCCCCGACAAAATCTGAAGTGTGCCGATATTCCATTAGTTCTTTTAAGTTCCTAACTCTGAACAGAATGTTGTATACTGTGCTCAGACTTGTGGTACATGTGTGGTAATATTGCTCGGGGTCGTTTGTCGCTGTTGAGGGGAAGTAACTGAGAGGGAAAAGGTTTGTCTGGGTGTAATGTATGGATTATTTCCCATGATGTCGAACTATATTTTTATGTGCCCCAGCCACATAATTTTACACTTGTTAGAATTCTGTGGCCCCCCTATTTATAATCATTGTCCCCAGCTTAAAGTTTAAAAAAGAATTTAATGGCTATTATTGTATCTCCTTTATACTTACATATTTCCAGTTGTACTTCGGTATTGATTTAGTAGAAGTTTGAATTGTCAATGTGGGACAGCGAACGCCCCCCGGGGCAGTGCCACTGACTGCAGTGTCTTTAGGCCATTCCCAAAGGGGGGACGTTTCTCGTTCAAGCATAGTAGAATTGTAAATGGGCTGACTCATGTCACGCTCATAACTGCCTGATCTACAACGGGGAACTGCTGCTTTTTCTTTCCTGATCCTTACTATTGCCATTTTCCTCTACTTCTTTTGTATGTTTGTCACTCTCTTGTGACCTGCTATTTTGGGGTGCCTTGATAGTCGAAGCAGACCTTGTGCTGTTGAAGCTAGAGAGGTGAGCAGTCTAAGTCTGATTCCCTGTAAAGACTTCTCTGTTGACACCCACCCCTTGGCGCTCATATGACCTTATGCAGTTGCGAGCACCGTAAAACCATCTACTTAAAAACAAACAAAAACTAATTGTCTTTTTTAATAAATGTCTTTACGTTGGTGGGAATGTCGTCCACAGGTGTTGATCGCCACCAGCACACTCGCCTGGGGCGTGAACTTCCCGGCCCATCTGGTGGTGGTCAAAGGTACCGAGTACTTTGACGGGAAAAGTCGCAGATATGTGGACTTTCCCATCACAGGTGGGTTTGAACCTCAACATAAGAGGAGAACATTTGGCTTGATGACAATCTTATTTGTTGTGGCGTATGTCCATTCTATTCCCAGACCGTGTTTGTGACGTTTTTGACGCGTGTCCTTTCTGTCCTTTGACAGTGTACGTGAGTGCTCTGATGTGGTTTGCTCCTTCTTTCTTATCAAACATCTATCATCCTTTTTTCTCCTCCTCCTTTTTTGCTGTATGTTACTCTCTTGTAACACATCTATTCTTCGGCACTTATATGACCTTATTGTGTTGCAAGTGCCGTAAAAGTTTTACTGAAACTAAAACAATGTATGTGTGTGATATTTTTGACGTATGCCTATTCTGTCCATACACAATATGTGTGATGACGTTTTTGACGTATGTCCAATCTATTCCTAGTGGGTGGTTGGCGGGTGCTCTGGTGTGGTTTGCTCCTTCTTTCCTATCAAACATCTATCGTCCTTATCTCCCCTTCTTCTTTTTTATGTTTGTTACTCTCTTGTAACACCTCTAATCTTCTGGCGCTCATATGACCTTATGTAGTTGCGAGCGCCGTAAAACCTCTACTAAAACTAAAACAAATCTATTCCTAGACAGTGTATGTGACGTTTTTGCCATCACGTGTCCATTCTACTCACAAACAATGACGTCGTGTGTCCATTCTGTCCCCACACAATGTATATGACATGTTTGGGCGATGTGTGTTCAGTCTGTCCTATGACAATGCGTTTGACGTCTTGTGTCCAGTCTATCCTCCGACAATGCGTTTGACGTCTTGTGTCCAGTCTGTGCAGGTGGTTGGAGGGCGTCCCTGGTATATCCTACTTTTTGACGTTCTATCTGTTGTTTCTGTCTGTCTGTCGTGCTTCTTTCCTGCACTATATGACCGTTGTTGTGTCGATTTTACTCAATCTCAAACTGTCCGTTTTGTGGCACCAGGCAGTGTGTATTACGAGTGTCCATTTTGTCCTGAGATATTCTTCTCTTTACTCAAACTCAAATGTCTATTCTTTGGCATCAGACAATGTGTTTTATAACTGTCCATTTAGTCTTGAGACAATGTGTTTGACGTGTGTGACACGTGTGTAACGTGTGTCCATTTTGTGACACCAATGTGTATAACACGTGTCTATTCTGTTGGTGGTTGGCGGGTGCTCTGGTGAGGTTTGCTCCTTCTTTCCTATATCAAACATCTACTGTCCTTATCTGTGACGCGTGTTACGTATGTGCGACATGATGTGACACATGTGTAACGTGTGACCACGTGACGTGTGCCTACTCTGTGGCATCAGACAATGCGTGTGACGTATGTGTGACGTAGTGTGACACGTGTGTAACGTGTGTCCGTTCTGCCTACTGACGTGCTACAGATGATGGGTGCTCTGGTGTGGTTTGCTCCTTCTTTCCTATATCAAACATCTATCGTCGTTCTCTCTCCTCCTCCTTTTTTGTGTATGTTACTCTCTTGTAACACTTTTAATCTTCGGCACTTATATGACCTTATTGTGTTGCAAGTGCCGTAAAACTCTTACTAAAACTAAAACTAACTCTCTTGTAACACATCTATTCTTCGGCACTTATATGACCTTGTTGTGTTTCAAGTGCCGTAAAACTCTTACTCAAACTAAAACTATTGTGCCCACAGACGTGCTACAGATGATGGGTCGCGCGGGCCGGCCTCAGTTTGACGACCAGGGCGTGGCCATGATCCTAGTACATGACGTCAAGAAACATTTCTACAAGAAGTTTTTGTACGAGCCTTTTCCCGTGGAGTCCAAGTGAGTCGAAACTTTGACCGCTCTCTCTCTGTCTC